ATTCGCGTGGAATTTTAATGGTTTACCTCTTTGAGAAAGGTTTACTTGGAGGGTCGACAAGGCGATGTTAGGATAATATTAAAATTAATTTTATGAGCATATATTGTAAAGATCACAGCTGGATACAGTTGGCTCAGTATCGAGCTAAGATTCAATTTGGCTTAATTTAACAAATTGTTAGCTACTACTTTAGTGTTGGCATTAGAATAATTGTCTTAATGTCCTGTAATTGACAAAATTTATGAAGAGGATGATTTATGGTAGGCAGTTTTAAGAGGCAGAGAGACAGAGCGTAAATAAACAATGAATTAATTCCTCCTCTAAATTTTCAGTGCCATTTTGTACATTCTAAAATTAAATAATTAAATTTTCTTCTTGTAATTTAACAGATTCCCCTTTCTTTCTCTTGCATATTTTAAGGAAAATAAGGAAAGTCGTACGTGTCGGGGCACCTCGCGTAAACAGAAGACTGATAAGAACCGATATATTAAACTACTCGTAGATCAGGATATGTTTGTATTTGTGAGGATTTGTGGTCATCCCTGTTCGTTTGATGGTGAGTAATAATACAAGAAACTGTAGGGTGACGGAAACAGAGAGTTCTTACGGGAGGACAGAGGCCACATCTCATTCAGGCAGCTTAGGGCTTTGTATTGTGTTGAAGAAGGCATATGTCAGCACTGCTTCCTAGTGACAGCTTCAATCCTCCGCATGCCTTTATACGTCTTCACAGTCATGACTTCCAGTCCTTATGGTCAACTTCAGTCTTGTTCCGTACTGTCAGCGTGTAGAACGCGTTGTAACGAGCTACTGTCTTCGACAATTGCCAAGCATTTTGGAGTGGGAAATGTGTACAAGTATTGTAGGAGATCCAAGTGCAAATTGGATTGAAGAAAACAGACTAGAATTAATAAAAAGTCAGAAAAGCGGCCTCCGTAGTCTAGGGGTAACGTTCCCACCTCATGACTCTAGGTACGCGGGTTCAAACCCGGCGGAGATCGTGAAATTTTTAAGGGCGGAAAAATTCAGAGAACAAGTCCTCCGGGAGGGACTTCAAGCCGTGGGTCCCGTGTCGTAGATTTACGGCACGTAAAAGATCCTCATGTCTCTAGGAGACATGCTGATAGCGAGCCCCAGTACCGGCAGGGTATGGAGACTGGTAGCATATCAAAAGGGGGACGTACAATAGACTAATAATAATAATAATAATAATAATAATAATAATAATAATGTCAGAAATTCATTAATACACACCAAGAGTACGTAGCAAATAGTTAGGAAAGGATTTGCTCGTTTAAATCTATGATAAGAAGCAAAAATGAGACTCATGATGGTACTGGGTATGTGGGGAAGATATTCAGCTACAAAACTGCTATATTACAATTTCGATTGCTATATAAAAGTAAAAAAATTGTCCCTGTGCTCAACGAATTAAGCACTACGCCATGGAGGCATATGTATAGTTCCACATTTTCTTGACCTCAGCACTAGTTGGAGGTGGTCAGCTTCACACACCGACCGCTTTACCCCCGGGGAAAGAGCCCTCAGCACCCACTGAATAGGAGATTGGGTGAGCCCCAGAGCTATTCTGAACGACCTGGAGAAAAGAGAATTCTTGACCCTACCGGAATTCGAACTTCGCCCGCTCTGTTGTCCAGCCCATATGGAGTCACTATGCCGACCACACGATCCCGGCTCGTAACATTTCCGTAACTTACCTCATTTTCTTATAAATACACGCGTTTATGCCTAGATACCCGTAAATCTGCACGTTCTGTTCAAGACACCATCATCCGTTGTTTATTCCTACTGGAAGTTTAAATGTTATGATTGTTTTAGTATTGTCACGTATGGGGGGGGGGTACGCGTGCCGAACATAACGTGTTACAGATCGGATGATTGGATTTATTAACGCCTTACTTTAAACTCACTCTTAATTACAGGCAATACAACGCTACCGCTGATTTACTCCCTTCACGAATCACTCGGACATGCTATCTGATTCCTGGCAACGACTTTATAACATAGACACTGCCACTGCAAGTCACTATGAAGTCTTCTTGTCATTTCGTGTCCACTCACTCACTCTGCCCTCCTATGTCCTAATCTGTATTCAACTGCTTCAAGCGAGTCGCATCAAGTCTTATGTTACGACCGACGGTCAGTCGACCAGTCTGTCTTGGAGTAAAGCACACATCTGGGGCTTACGGCCAGATTTTTATTACTGTCAGACAGTTTCGGGTGTGTTTATGTGGAGAACTCTCTCTGACGAGAGGACGGGTGTGTCGTTTACAATTTCTGCTGGTCCTCGCCAGCACAGCCGTTCTCAGGTCCGAGTCCTATGGGACTCGTGACCATATTTTACTGTCTCAGATTCGAAACATCCCTTACGGTCGCCTCCTATGACTCGCAGGGCTACGGTGGAGGTATTTACGGGCTTTACGAATGTGTTTACCTAGCAACGGGGTTTTCTGGCTACATAGGTTAATGATTTGAGCATAAAGGTCACAGTATTCTTTTCGCATAATGCGGCTTCTAGGCTAATGTAAAAGCTCATTGACTAGTAGAATCTCCATATATACGTCTTATGTAATTGAGTGGTTGTGTGGAGACGAACAGCAGGAAAACAATATAACATGGACGATATTCGCGAGGCATTCAGTGTGCAGACTAAATCTGCAGCATATCACAGTGAATGAACTAGTAGCCATGCCAAACGCACTGAGTGCAATATTCCGACAGACAAGCTGTTGATAGAAATCCTAGCACAGTTGAATCAATAGAGACATATGATAATGCCGGGGAAACACAAAAGGTACCACAATAATCATGGCAATGATAAGGGAATATGGCTGTATGTCGGACTTCCTGTAACCAGATATTCTCGCTCTTGTATCTTCTGACAGCATCTGCGTGTATAAAGCGAGTGGGGCCTGAAGTTGTGAATAATGTGCACTAGACAAGGACGGAATGGAAAGGGAACAATTTGCTTCTAATAAAGATAGTTAACAGATGTTTTGAAAATGGCACAGTTCAGATATTTGGGAACGACTGTAACAAACCAAAACCTGACTCAGGAGGAAATTAAAGGGAGATTGAACTCGGGTAATGCTTGCTACCATTCAGTCCAGAACATTCTGTCTTCTCGTCTGCTGTCTAAAAACATAAAAATTAGAACATAGAAAATTATAATTTTGCCTGTGGTTCTGTATGGGTGCGAAACTTGGTCTTTGACCATAAGGGAGGAACATAGACTGAGGGTGTTGAGGAAAATATTTATACTGAAGAGAGATGAAGTGACGGGAGGTTGGAGAAAACGGCATAATGAGAAGCGTCGTAACTTGTACTCTTCTCCAAGTATAATTAGAATGATCAAGTCAAGGAGGATGAGATGGTTAGGGCATGTAGCACGAATGGGGTAGAGGAGGAATGCATATAGCATATTGGTGGGAAAACCGGAAGGAAGGAGACCACAGGGAAGACCAAGAAGTAGGTGGGCAGAAAATATTAAAATGGATCTTAGAGAGACAGGATGGGATGATATGGATTGGATTAATCTGGCTCAGGATAGGCGCCAGTGGAGATCTCTTGTGAACATGGTAATGAACCTTTGGTTCCATAAAATGCTGGGAAGTTCTTGAGTAGCTTCACAATTGGCGGTTTCTCAAGAAGGGCTCAGCTCCATGAGATAATGTGAATGTGGAGTGGTAAGCGATCAAAACTTACCAAGATATTCAGGCCGCGCCATAGCTCAAGCGGTTAGTCGCTGGCTTCCCACCGCGGCGGCCCGGGTTCGATCCCGGGTCTGGTCAAGTGGAATTTGTGGTGGACAAAGTGGCGCTGGGGCAGGTTTTCTCCTTATACTTCGGTTTCCCCTGCCAATCTTCATTTCACCAATTGCTCCACAATCACCCTCACCTATCATCTGGGGCTGGTACAATAGGCCAAAAGTGGCCGCAGTACAAGGGACTTAGTCCCACCCCACTAGCAATAAAAAAATACCAAGATATTCCACAACCACAGCGATTAATTCACAATAGAAGTTCAATGCTTTACCGTTCAGACTTACCCACATGCACTCGGGGGTTGAGCAGAGGAGAGCTTCAGGCTGCTGACGCCAGTTCACTTAAGTAAGGGCACTTGTAGGGTGTTATGATGTAGTGTATAGCTGTGATAGCCAAAACGTGTAGGCGCAAGAGGAATGAACATACGTAAAAGTTTGGTTGGGCTGTCTCATGGAAAGACATGACTTGTGAGATGGGAACATAAGAAAACTGACCTCGGAGAAATATGTTTGAAAAATGTGAACCGACTTAGGTTAGGCTTCAGTGATAGCATTCCGTGGCTACGCCGATGTGGCAGCGTGTTCCATAACAAAATTATATTTCTAAAGGAGTTGATCGCGAGACCTTCACCTGCAAGAGGAGTGGCCTCTGCCAAGGAGTTCGATAGCTTGTTCCTCCTCTGATGTTAATGACTGTCTGGTTTTATTATGAATATAAATATTAAACGGATAGCAGGGTAATCCTACAAATAAAATTAAGGAAAAGAAATCTATTACTATATCACTTTATATAACCTGTTTTATTTATACTTCCGTGAAATTCTTGGAGACTATGTAGCTTCGAATGTGGGATGTGAGAACTGGGAGTTTCTACACGGATGAACACACTAAAATTTTATTTTGCCCCGTGTTACGTACACTTCACGGGCATGAAACGTCAGGAAGGGCTATCATATCTGAGTTCGCTCTGAATTAATATATAATTATATAATCTTTCCCGCTTCCTTTAAATCGCCAGTAGTTACGTATTTAAGGCCAACACACGCTGCACTGAAATCTCACTGCAGAGTTATATCTTCTGGGATATGAAGATATGCATTCCGCTTAAAGTCAAACCACTATTCGAGGGAAGTTTTGGTTGCTATATGCTTTATGCTGGTTTATTATTGACTTACTCTTCAACCCTGAAGTTAGAAGCGAAATTTTCCTCCGAAACGTTGGTTGGCTTTCAGCGGACTACGTGCCGTTACATCTCAGAAGTGAGAACTCTTCATAACCACCGTTATGAGAACTTTAAATCCTACATAAATTCTCATTTATGTTATTATCCACATCAAAGGAAGTCCACACGCAACTGATGAAACTTACCGATGCTGCAAGAAGTTGTTCATTTCGTTCATTTACCTCCAAACTTTAGATTCAGTTTATGTAATCACGATCAACAGACTCCTCGACTACTTCAATAATTCTTCGCTTGCAAACAGGTGTCATTCTCGAGTGAGCAGATCTGATAGCACTCTTGATGGCATCACTGTCGTCACCTGCGACTTCGTCATCACTACCTTCCCACTCATCCAAAGCGTGTGGAAGGTTCAGAAGTACATTAGATATAATGAAAGGTGCACAGTGTTTGAGCTGCGGCTCCAAAGCAGAGAATGGAAGCAACTGCTCGACGTCTGACCCAAGATGACTCACGGTTTCACTCAGACTGTCGTGGTAACAGTGAAGCAGGTCTTCTCGATGTGCCTCTCTCGTCATTCTGTCTGTCCCCAAGAATAACAGTCGGCCTATGTCCAAGGCGGGAGACGCGTACCGGGTCTGTTGGAAGTCTAAGAACCTCATCTCATCTGGTTCCTTACCCGACGCTCCTGGTGGATAGTGGAACATTAAATTATTGACCCATAAGTCCCCGTGAGTGATGACGTTATAGGCTTCATTTGTGGAGTCATCGTAGATCAACTTCATAATTCTGTCTTCAGCATCTCCAACGAAGCGTTCATATTTATTTAAATACGAATTACTTTGCGGATAATGTGCCTTCAGCATCTCTAATACGTCATTAAGAATAAACTTAACCAAATCGCGCGTTGTTTTGTTATACGCGGAAATAGAAAACATTATTTCGGAGACGGATTCTTTAAGTTTGGAAAACCTGTCAGGATCTTGGTTCTTCATGGCGAGAGAGAAGGCGTGAAATCGTCCAAGTTCTTTCATAACGAGAAGGAGTTCGTGAAGAGCCATGACTTTCAAACGGCTCAACACGACAAAGCCTGCAGAGGTTAGGTCCTCCACGACCAGGAAAGCGTTCTCCCCCTTGCACTCTGCTGCGTAGCACTTAGGGATTCGAATCGGAACACACGAATCGTGAGAAAATTTTTCCTTCCCGAAATGCACAAACTCTGTAAATATTTTGCTGTAAAATATGGCTTCGTTTCTGAACTGCAGATGGCTGTCGAAAACATTTCTTCTTTGGACGTCCGACGGAAGACACTTTATGTAGAATGACATGGCCCTGGGGCCGTCTGTAACTTTAAGTCGATAGAGTGAGGAAATCCAGAGACTTGCTGACACTGAGGTGATTTCGCAGTTAGAGGATCGAAGATCGAATCCCTGCTCTTCAAGTATTGAAGACAAACGTCGTACAACATATCTCGGAAGTTGATACCAACAGCTTACTTCAGCCATTGCTAAGGCACTGCTTAGAACTGTGTCTCCTGGCACTTTAAGTACATAAATATTATCTCTCGACGCACACTGCACGAAAAGTTGTACATTTTCTAGACTACTTATTTAGCCTTTTATAGACATTTATGTCAGTCTTGACATTGTTTCCTTGAAGAATAGTTTGATAACGCCATGACTAATGTCATGCACAGGAACGATAAGGGGCAGAACTCATTGCTATAACTGCTGTTCTGCTGAAAGTCCGAGCCTTGGTGGTGTGCGGGGCGGGAGGGGCGTCACAAATTTTACGCCTGGGCGGCCCGACGATAAGCGGAAGTTCTAAAATGATTATTCTGTGCAATTTTTTCATGACAGTTTGAAAGGACGTTATTTGTTACAAGGCAAACCAGTATTACTCGTATGTTATGTAGTAGGTACTGATATCGGAAATCACATAACTTTCTAAAACTCTCTGTCCGTCGTGTTAATTTGCACAGCTACTTAAACACCGAGATCGCATGGAATTATTTTTTCCCCCGTTTAGATTCACTATAGCTCCGCGACAATATTTATTCTTTATTTTAATATAGGCTTGGAGATTGTCCATTGTACAAAATACTTTGACGCATATGCCCATTGCTACGCAACGGTTCGGTAAACATTCCCGAAGTTACGCTCTCAACAGTAGAAGGACATCCATTGCTAGGCAACGGACCAATAAATATGCATTCTTGACAACAGAAGACGGTGATTTCCGTGGAGTTCGTGCCGAGGAACTCTAAGAGGACACAGTCAGGAAAACTGAAGCAGTACGGAGGAGTATAACGGAGTTCCGTTGGGAGACAGAATAGTTTCAGTGGAGTGTCCCGTGTCGGATAGTGATTTGTGAACTGTTGTAACCAGTTGTATGAAAGTCTAATGAACTCGATTATCAAATCCCCAAAAAAAAAAAAATCTTATTAGTCACGCAAACCCCGAATACTTGACAATGTATTCACCATAAACAATATTTCGGGAATTACCTGTCCTCCCGTTTTCAGCTGATTGTACTCTCTTAATTTTAGCATTAGCGTAAACTGAACCCGGCATCACGTGAATTCTTCCCTGGTGTATAACGTAGTCATATTAAGTTACAAAATTACTGTAGAAGGAAAATTATATTGAACGTTGGCTGTGTTAACACAGAATGTGATAGAGGTACATAAGTGCAATTGCGAACACCGTTTAGTTCTTCTTCATGTGACAAAGGTGTCCAAGTGTTTAAAGTTACTGCTTTTGAGTGTCTCAGTATCTACCGCGACTATGAGCATCATCTCAAGTTGATTTCCTCTTATCACCATCCCGAGCATCACGTGCTGCTGATGCAGGAACTTTGTTATTTCATAAAGAGGCGAGTTGAAACTCCAAGTTTACACACATCAAGGTGTACTGCATACGCTTCCAGTATCAAGTGACACTGATAGTTGGCCTGGCTCTTGTAGCTTACAGTTCACTACATGTTTAGTTAAAATAGATTAAGTCTTTATAAACTTGTGTAAGGCAGGGTTTCTCGCGTGAATGCGTGAGTGCATGAGAATGGTGGCAATATGTAAAATATTAATTAAATTATTTTGATGATCTAGATGTGCATTAGCAGCTGCTAATGTTGTCTGCAGGGATGTTGACGTATTCGGAGCCGGGAATGTTCTACCCAAACAAATTTTAAATATAGTATAACTGTTAGTAATTTTTTTTATTATTTGCTTGTCCAATAAAACAAATGAATTATTATGATTATCTTCTGAAAATCTATACTATTCATTTCTTAAATAAATATTTATGTTTCATTTCTCACTTCTTAATAACACATAGTTTAATGATAATGAAATTATTATTACTGTTATAATTATCATTTGTTTGTTTACTTTTCTTCATTATTGTGTTTTCCAAGTACTTATCTGAAATTTGTCTTTGACTTATAATGTGTTTGTCTATAATGTAATTACTTTCATCTACACTGTGCTCTGTCTGTAATTGGCCTTGTGACTGTTGACTCGGCACATAAATAATAAAGAATTGAATTGAATTATAATTACCTAAAATATACCAGCAGAAAATATTTATTTGTAATTAACATTTGACAAAGAGCGAACTCTTCTTTCTTTCTTGCTCGTAGACGCACGCTTACAGTCACGTCTTCTTTCATATCATTAAGGTTCAGGATTATTTTATCTGGACATACAGTTTTAAACATAATCATTTTTAGGGGTGAAACAGAAACAAAATAAAACATTACCTGCCAGAGAATACCATTGGAAACGGTGCATTTTGATTTTCAGTTCATTTTTCAAGAAGAAACAAAGTATCGCTCGTGTTACCTGTGTGGCACTCAAATGAGTTGTTTATTGACATATATGGAGTAGCATTTGTCGTTAAAATCTTATATAGTATCCAGCGTTACCGTATCCATTTTGGTAGCTCCAAAAATGTTTTCTTATGAGGAATAAAATGGCTTTAAAATCATAAAGGTATATTTTGTTGTTCTTGTAAATTGACAATTTATGCAAGCTCCAAATACGTGAAACAAATAAATATTAAAGAAATATTATATAATTCAATGACGTAAGGATGGGTGTCCCAAACTGTATTATTCTTTAAACACCAAATCCTTCAGCTTCTTGCGTTACTCACCTACGCCTTCCTTCATTCTGCATACTCACGTATAACCTCTGTAAAATCGATATGCAGTTGTATGTCATTAGTATGTGTGACACGATATATTTTGGAATCGGTCTAATGGAACTGCTGAGGTGATATCCCCGGATAATTTGTGGATCGGTGCTTTGAAACTGGCATATGAAATGCGGTAGCGTAGCGCGTAAGTGCCTATTAGTAAGCCGGGAACAATGTATATACATACAAACACACATATATTTATTCACTCATATTTTGTGACTGAAAATGTTTGCTCACAAATATAAGAATTGATAGACGCTATGATCGTTCATTCTGATGAAGGGGAACTTACAGATATAAGCCCAGCAAAAAATTGCAGCAGATATCCTTGGGGAAAGGCTTTTTTTCAAAGAGGCATCATTTCGCAATTCATTCATCTCCACTTGCATCTTTGCTGGGACCTCATCAGTGTCAATATCGGGAGAATTTCTGAACATTTGAATTTCTCCTCTCTTTCTCGCTCTCTGGCTCCACTGCTCTTCGGTCCTTGGCCGCATTTTCAGTTTCTTTCATCACTTACACAGTCGGTAGGGCTCCTTGGACGGGGGATCAGCCTGTCGCAAGGCCGCTACCTACACACAGAACAACACACGCACAGAATAAACGCACACAGACATCCATACCTTGAGTGGGATTCGAACCCATGATCCCAGTGTTCGAGCTGGCGAAGACGGTTCATGCCTTAGACTGCGCGGGCACCGTGATTGGCAGAATTTCATCTCACCTAGTGTAAAAATGAGAGAACCTCGAGGTAAATTAATTTTGGAGCTGCTGAAAGATGGTAACAAAGTTATCCTTTAACTGATTCGAGAGAAGAGTCCATAGCAGTCTTCGCAAATAGAAAGCGGCCTGGCCTGAGGTTGGTTCAGTGATACCGTGCCATTGTTCAGCAGTTCTGTTTCACTTCGAAGGCTTTGACGTCAGAAAGTAAATCAGACAGTAATTTGTATTTTCCTTGAACGTTTATCTTAAGCTCATAAACATGTCCTGTCCATTGGAAAAGCCAGGCCAACGAACCGTTTATCGTCTGATAACTAGGAAGCGCCTTTAACCTTATCTGTCATTGAAATGTCTATTTCAGACATTAAATGAGGAAAATATTTCAAAACTGCACACTTATTCGACCATCTCACTGTTGAGTATTACACACTATTGTACTCTGCTTCGATAAAGAAAACTCCGTGGTCTGTAGTCCGAAAGCGAACTATACCGACCGAGCGACGGCCGTTTGTCGGCGAAGTTAGTGCCAGATTTAGCGGATAGAGGGTGTCGCGTGATCAACGCAACGAATCCCGAGGCCGTTAATTTCGGTTTTCTAGACCGGATCCGCTATTTCCTTGAAACAGCTCCTCAATTATCCTCACGAGGCTGAGTGGACTCCGTTCCAGACCCACTACTTCTCAGAAAATCTGGTAGCGCCTGGAATCGAACCCGAAACCTCTGGATCTTTAGTCAGGAACTCTGACCACCAGACCACAGAGGAGGCCACTCTGCTTCGATTTATACCAGAAAACGTTGGAACTAACGGTGTGTCAAACCAGTGCCTCGGATGACGTTCGCTGTTGATGTAACATTCATAACATATCTAAATGGCAAGAAGTTGCAGCGCAGTGCCGCTTGGTGAAGATGCAGTAAAATAGCATCGGAGTTTTAGGAAAAACACTCGCAGTTTCGCCATATTACACCGCTCTCTCGGTCTCTAAAAGTGACAGTGGTTTGTTATTATTCGTAGTTATGCAATTATTATGTTGAACATTGTTGATTTTCCTACTTAAATTAAATTAAACGACGTTTTGGAAGCTGAATCTTCATCCGTCATCATATGTAAACAAAGGGTAAAGGATTATACCTAAAGATAGTTCCGTGATCCAGACAATGTGTTTACGGACCGAGATACAAATCCGAGACCCCATGATTTCAAACCAAATCTGCTAAAAATTCAACTCCCGCCTTTGTTATGAAGAAAGTAATGTTTGTGAAGGGCCGCGCCATAGCTCAAGCGGTTAGTCGCTGGCTTCCCACCGCGGGGGCCCGGGTTCGATCCCGGGTCTGGTCAAATGGGATTTGTGGTGGAGAAAGTGGCACTGGGGCAGGTTTTCTTTCCCCTGCCAATCTTCATTCCACCAACTGCTCCACAATCACCCTCACCTATCATCTTGGGCTGGTACAATAGGCCACAAGTGGCCGCAGTACAAGGTACTTAGTCTCACCCCACTAGCAATTAAAAATGTTTGTGTACAGATCAGAGTCTGAAGGTAATGCCCATTTTCCTTAAGATAATACAAAGAAGCTACTGGGAATTATTG